ACTGAAGGGTGGCCTTGCTTTTCTGAGCATCTGCAGCAGCTCCCTGTCTCACCCCTGTGGCCTTGCTTTTCTGAGCATCTGCAGCAGCTCCCTATCTCACCCCTGTCTCCCCCCCGCCCCACACACTCACACACTTGCCTCCCCATGACACACACACACACACACACACACTCTCACACACTTGCCTCCCCATATACAGCATTGTGTCGCCTTCTCTCTTTCTCCTGGAGCCCTCTTTCCAGAGATGTGCTGGTGGATACTCCTGACCCTTTCTCAGTGGGGTCTGTCAGAATCATAATCTCTCCCAGCCCACTCCCACTCCTGATCTCCTGAGCCCGGCCTGACATTTTTTCCCATGGCGGTTATCACCTTCTAACACATGACATACCTACTTATTGACTTTATTGTTCAATTTCTTCTCCCTCTGCAAGAGTATAAGCTCTACAAGAGCAAAGGTTTTTGTATGTTTTGCTCCATAGTTCCTTCTAAATGCCTAGACAAGGCCTGGCCCCTAGTCAGCATGAAATAAATATTTATTGAAGGGAAAAATTAGATTTCATGTGTGTGAGCTTTTGTTTGATTCCTTTCTATGGAGAAAGAGTGGCCAGTCTCTCTGAGCAGAGGTGGTATGGAACCCAACTTAGCTCCTTAGAAAACCACTAAGCTCTGAGTTTGAGAACAGTATATTTTTTATAATTCCTCTTGATCATTATTTTCACCTTTTTGTTGAATTTAATACCTGATTGTGTTGCCTCAATCTTCTGTGCATTTGATGATTTTATTAATCAGTATGGGTAGTTATAGCAGTTTCATAATTAATCTTTAATTGCAGTACTTAAATAGCATTTCACATGATAAATGATTTACAAATTATACCCAAGTCTTACCTTAGATAATTATCACAGGTCTGACAACTGTGCATGAAGCCCTTGCACTGTGGGGGCTCTCTCCAGGGACAAATGTGTTGATTTTCTAATTAACAAAGGTTAAGTAGCATTTTTGCATGAAGATCTACAATTTAAACTTATGACATTTGTCATCAAAAAGATTTCTGTAGAGCATACGAGTTGAACTCAAATAATTATCACTGGTTCTAGTGCATTAACATCTTTTGCATAATATAGAATGACCATTTTCTGAACAAAAGATTTTTCTTCATATCGACTAGATCAGTAAAAGTACTTTCCAGCTCACTGACCAATTTAATAAATCAGAGGCCATATAAGTAAGAAAAGAACATAATTTATTGAGTTTTCCTTTATAGGAAAGAAATGGCATCTTCCCTGCTTTATAAATTATGAAGAAGGAATATAAAACTTTATTTAATGAAGGCAACAAATACAAATTAGATTACAGTCATATGTTATGGTCAATTAAGAGCAGGAAGAGGGAGAAGTCAGGCAGCAGTGCAAAGAAAAAGGGAGAGAGAAGGAAATTTAGGAGAAATTGAGAGCAATTTGCTGAAATGAAGAGACAGAGACACAAGCACAGAGGGAGAGGCTGTACATCATGGACCAGAGTAATATGGAGCCGGAAGGAATCCAAGACGGCGTCTAGTTCAACCTCCTTTTTTATGGATAGGAAAAATTGATGCTGAGGGAGATTAAATGATTTGATGAAAGCCACAGAATTAACACAAAACAGTCAACCATCCTGATAGGGAGAGAGTTATAAACACAAAGGCAGGAAGACAGATAAGCGAGAAAGACCCAGGACCAGAAAGAATCAAAGACAGAGAAGCAGAGACAGAAAAACCTTCCCTCTCTAACCCTTAAGGAATGAGACCTGTACACATAAAAAATACGCACACACACGTAAATGTTTACCTTAATGATATAGTAAAAATATGATCTAGATTTATTTGCTCTGCCAATTGGCCCTTTTTAAGTCTCTGATTTTTTTGTCATATCAGTTTACTTAAGGAGTCATTTTTAAATATCTTCAAACTCTCAACTATTGCTGAGACCCATTAAACATGAGTCATTTCCAAATTAAAATACATTCTAGATTAAAAGATTAGAATGTTAAGAGAAGTAAAATAATAAAAGTGTTGGAAAAAAATATAGTTGAACAGTTATATTACTTCAAATTAGAGAATTTCTTCAGAAGTCTAATATGAAAGGCAGAAATCATACAGGTAAAATGGATGGATGTGACTCCATAAACATTCAAAACTTTCATAAGGAAAAAAGAAACATCAGATACAGGTTAACAGACACAAACTGGAAGGATGTAGTTGTCAAATTTATAATGAAGCATTAAAGCCCAAGGTATTGTTATCAGTCAATAAGAAATATACTTTCTCCTATTCCCTCCAAAAAGCAAAAGACATAAACAAAAAATAAGAACTGGGAAAACATAAAAATCCTTCAAATTGCCGTACTTAAAGCAATGCAGATTAAAACAATGGACTCTTTTTTCTCCTGCTAGCCTATAAAGTCAAAAGAATCCAGCCTAGTATTAGAATTGGTGTGGAGAAGGGAATCTCATATTCTACTTGTGAAATACAAATTGATAAATTATTCTTCTTAGAGGAAAATGTATTTCAAATGCCTTTAAAATGTATACACCCTCTACCCAGCAATTACACTTCTAAGAGGAAAAGCTGGACAAATGTGCAGAGGTTTCTACAGGGGTATTTATTACAGTATCATATAAAAAAGAAATCGAAATAAGCTTGAAAGTCTACTAGTTGTGGAAGGACAAACTAGTTATAGTGCCTTCAAAGAGTGAGCTACTGTGCAGATAACAAACAAGACGTCTTGTACGTTGATTGCTTAGAAAATGTTTTGGGATATATTAAGTGCAAAAGGCAAGTTTCAAAGCAATGTGTATATCGTGATTCCATTTCTTCCTTTGTTTTATTTTTTACACACATGTATGCTCAAAGTAGAAAAGGCTGTTTGTTAAAAGTGAAAGTTCATAATTATATCTGAGCAGCGTTACAGATTCTCTCTTTCATCTTGCTTATCGGTAGGTTTACGGTTTCTGCAATGGAAAACTATTTCATTAGTGATAAGGAGAAAAGAGAAGGAGATATCTAAAAACAATGATGTTTAAATTTCATCATATTTTGATAAATTTGTCTTAATTAACTAGTGATGAAAACTTAAGTGACTATGCATTTATAGAACAAAAGACCTTTAGAAAGCCTTTATTGCAAAAATAAAAGCCATAGTTACTAAAATGATAGAAGCCAAATAAAATTTTAACACATAAAAGGTGACTGATGGATCGAAATTCTTCCAAATCATAGCAAAGGCCCAAGTTCTCTTCAGCACAGAGGTGTGAGGATAAGCTGACGAGCAGATTGCAAAATGGGAAATCCTCCAAAGTGATTGTTTTCAGTGACTTCTTTGCCATCTACTATCCCATAGCTTTGATCAAAAAGGGCACTGAACTCCCTTCCATTAATCCTCTGTTCAAATATTTTATTAAAAAGTAATCCCTAGAGAATCATTATTCAAATCTACATATTACCCAGTGAGAGAACTGTAGGGCTTGGGTTTATAAAGGTCATAGAGTGCTTAATTTGTCATTTCATGGCTGAGGAGTCACAGGGACAAGCAAATGTCAGTCCATCTCTAGACTAGAGCCTTTGGCCCACCAGCCCTGTCTGAGGAGTTGGCTACATCGTTCCCTTTTTCTCAGAATAACGGAAGTGATCAGAATCAACCCCCAGACTACCAACCTTACCCAGACCCTCACAGTCCCATTCTCCACTCGATTTCCAAAGACATCCAAAACATGGGTATCTGTGGGGTCCAGACGCTGGAGTTCCTCTGTATGAGATGCTCAACACAGAAGAGCCTAAGGCTGCCGGCGGGAGAGCAAGGCAGGTCCGACACCACTTTGCTGCTTCACAGCTTTGACTCCGAGCAAACTTCCTCACTTCACTCAGCGGCAGTGTGTGCAGGGGGATAGTGACGATGCACCTGCCGTGCCAGGTGGCCATGGGACCCGGGAAGATAGCAGATGTGAGGTGCATAGCAGAGTACTACTGCCTGGCCTTCAATAACGTGGTGACTTTTTTGTTACTAACAGCATCTTTTTCTCTAAATCCCCATCAAACACCTCTTTTAATAATTTGACTATTTTATTTAATTTTCGGAAAGGTTGTTACTCTAAAATACAGGCATGTATATAAATTTGAGTTCCTCCTTTTGTACCAACTGTTTTTTTTAATCATAGCTAAGTAATTACAGACACAGTTAAATTCACTTGTGATATAATGCCCCAACAAACCTTTCTATGAAATTCGTTAGGAATGTTTTAATATTTTCATGTTCACAAACCTCTCACTCTATAACTTACTCAGGAAATCACCATGAACTTGCTCTCTCTGCTGTACGTCATGCAGTGGCATTTAGGTGAAAGACATGAACTCTAACCTGACCTGGTAATAAGTTTGTTGTGATTGACTTCTGTGTAAAATTACAGCTTCCAGTTTCCAACCACACCAGACAGGAAGCCCTGGGAGCCTTTAATGTGAACTTACAAGCAAAGCATTTCCCGAGACGAGAACCAGGACGTGCAATCACGTTTCAGAGGGACCTATGCCTTCCAACTAATTGACTTGTTAACTATGTTAGGATGTTCATGTCTTTCTGCCTTTTTATATTTCTTTCAATAGCTATTGGTATGGAACTGAATGCTGTGGGATTAAAGAGCAAAGAACTTAGAGATTTCTATAAACTTCTTTTCTATAGGAAACCAGATAAGACTTCCAAGGCAGCTTATATGATTTTTGTGTATCTCCAAACATTTCATCTCTGTAGCAAATGTATTGCCTCTCAGAAGACAGCCTCTTTTAATTAGGCATTATAGCCTAAGAGGGAAAAGCTTCAAGTTTTTCTGTTAGGCAAGCCCAGTGGGAAAGCGAGAATACTGGCTGCACTTGGCCATCTCATCTCTTCCCACACATTCCAAGGGTGAGGAACGAAAGTGGAGCCCCAGCAGAGGTTATCCTGTCTGAGCTCCGTGCTCTCTGTTGTCTCTAGGTGGCGCCGGAGGCCAGCAGGGTTTCCTGGGCTGCATCCGCTCCCTGCGGATGAATGGGGTGACTCTGGACCTGGAAGAAAGAGCAAAGGTCACCTCCGGGTTCAAATCCGGATGCTCGGGCCACTGCACCAGCTACGGGACGAACTGTGAGAACGGAGGCAAGTGCGTAGAGAAATACCACGGCTATTCCTGTGACTGCTCCAGCACGGCGTACGACGGGACATTCTGCAACAAAGGTAAGGCAGAGCCGGTTCCCAGTCACTTTTACAGGTCCTTTTGAGCCTAAATCATCCATTTAGTGATTTTTTTTCAGCTGTATGTAAGTGTACCTTTAGTCTGAGGGCAAGCTGTTCACAATTCTTCCCCACCTTCTCCGAGATCGCTCCCTGGTCTTCGTTGTTTACTGCAATGAGATGAGAGAAGCTTTGAGTGTGGTGCAGAATTTCCCCCACGTTCCAGCAGACTCACTGACTAGAACATTACAAGCAGCCCCGTCACACCTTAGTGGTGAGTGACAGAGTCAGTGGCCTCCGAAAGGGGACTCAGGCCTGACCCTCCACTTCAGGTGCCGGCGGGCAGGGGCGGTCAGCACCTGCCTCAGCAGAGTCAGTGGGTGCAACCGAGGGGCTGGCACACCCCACCCCACCACGCGCTGCCGGGAGGCTGTGTTCAAGCTGGCCTCCCAGCAAAGCCTCTGGCCAGTTACTGTCACTGTCGTCATGATCACGCTTGCACGGGATGCCTGCAGGAGCGGTTCTCAGCCCCAGCTGTGCGGCAGGGGTGCTGAGATACCCATGCAGTCGGCCAGCTCAGAGCATCTGTTGTCGCTGCATTATTTCAGTCTTGAACGATGTCTTTAATCCCCAATAAATTTTGCAGAGCCAGTCAGCAGACCACAGGGACTCAATGCATGTTATTCAGGACATACCTTGTGGCCCGCATGACCAGAAGCGATTAACCAACTGCTCTGTGGCTTCCTTTCTCATATGTGAGCAGATCAGTCTTGAACGATGTCTTTAATCCCCAATAAATTCTGCAGAGCCAGTCAGCAGACCACAGGGACCCAATGCATGTTATTCAGGACATACCTTGTGACCCGCATGACCAGAAGCGATTTACCCAACTGCTCTATGGCTTCCTTTCTCATATGTGAGCAGGAGGGATGGAGAGAGGCAGAGCTGGCACTTCCCCCAAGCTGCGATTGAAATGCATGTAAATCACTCTTCTCTTTCTAACTGAATGTATAGCATTTGGGTGAAGTTTTCTGTAAATGGTTGGCTCATCTCTTAATAAGCAGCTTTACATAAGTAGCCTATTCATACTCTCATGCATACATGGAGGGTTGTTTTGCTGGCATCATTCACGCAAGATGCCACACAGAAGGAGGAATTATTCCATAACATCCTCTGTACACCCAGGCCTGCCTGGCAGCGCTACCATATGAGCGTACCAGTTAGGTCAGGCAGGGTTTGAAGAGAGAGTGTGAGAGGCAACACGGGAAGGAGCCCCAGTGCTGACTGACCGCGAAGCGTCTTTCTGCTCGGAGCATCATGGCCCCGCGACTTTCCTCTGGCACACACTGGGGTGGGCTTGCAGAACACATCAAATTCACACTTGCAGAAATGACGGTCTTGGAGTTGTCATTCATTGTGCTTGATGCTAATTTAATGCAATCACTCTGAAGTGATGTCTGAATGGAATCGTGTAAGCGCCGATGCTGGAGAGATGCCACTACGCAGGTGCCAGTCCCAAGGACATCACAAGTCCCTTCTCTTCAGAGTTAGGTTAAACACAGTGACTCAAACAAAACCCCTGAGGGTCGATAGGCAATATTCCCAAGTAGAAAGGCAGCCCTGCCAAGGCTGGAGGTAAAGTCAGATGAAGCTGTGTTTCCTCTGACCCTATCTCATCGGATTTACACAAAAGACACCTAAATGTTCTCTTATGTTCAGCATGATGAGTTTACATTAACTAGTGGCTTGAGCCAAAACATTGAAATTAAAAGCTGCAGAACGTGTTTGGAAAGTGTTCAGCATCTTTCTGCGTCAAGACAGGCATCTTCTTGACCTCAGTGTTGCTGGGTGAAAGGAAGCGCACAGCCTTCCAGGAGAGCTTTGCCGGGGAGTCTTTCTGTCAGGCGCCCCCTCCGTTCCGTTCCGGGCCTCACCTCCCAGGTAGCCGGGTATTGGCACAGCAGCTCCTGTGACCATGCCTTCCCAGTCGGCTGCAGCTGACAACTCAGCCTCTGGAAAGAGCAGCCACAGGCGTCCACCGAAGAACGATCTCATGATAGTCCTCGGTGGGCCTTCCTTTCAGAGTGTGGGTCTGAGCTTGTGCGCGTGGGATTAATGTTCACAGTGTTTGGCGAAGAGAGTACAATAGGTCCCGATGTATCACCCACAGCCTGATCTGTTTGTACAAAATCAAAGACACACACACACACACACACACACACACACACACACGAGAGAGAGAGAGAGAGAGAGAGAGAGAGAGAGAGAGAGAGAGAGAGAGAGAGCGAGAGAGAGCGTGCGCGCACACCCAAGCAGTCTGTAAGAAAACACACCAAAATGTTAACTGTCCTCATTTTTAGGGGAGGGTGAAAACACCAATATTTATTTTCATTTCTTTTTTGCTACATTTTCTAATCTCTACTCAATAATATCTCACCTATACCTTCCTCGTTTTTGCCTCTTTGGGGGAAGAACAGTACTAAGAGGCATTCAGGGGTCAACTGTCTCTGGTCAGAAAATATCTAGTTATTAACCAGAAATTGTTGAACCATCAAATCTTACTACTGGAATGGAATAGCATCTTAGGTAAAAAATTTCATATTAATTAAATTACCCTCAAACTATCCATCTCTTAATATATTTAAGAGAGCCCATTTTTTTCACAAGCCTCCAAAGCAGTCACCCTCAAATGGGCACTGGAATGATTGCCTTATTAGGGCCACCCTTGAGACACTCGTATCACACTCAGCCATGTCAGGGGCTCACACGAGGACGGGCGTGGGACCCAGCGAAGCCTGGGGAGGCGTATCAGCCGGGTCTCTCTTCTCTCCCATGTGGATTAGGTCATCCAGGGGTATGGTGGCAAATGGCCCACACTATTTAAATTGTCTGTGTTTCTTCTCTCTCTCTCCTTCCTGCCACATTTAGGTATAAGCTGTATTCCTTCATTGATGTATTTATTTAACAAACATTCAGTGAACACCTAATATGCCTGAAAGCCTTGAATATGTAGTTGACTCTGACTATACTGAAATTTTTGAAACATTTCAATGGTGTATAGATGCAAAATCAGGAAAATCTAGAGTACATGAAAAGCAGTAGATGTGAATTAGCTGTCATCCAGGCTGCAGAAAACAGTTCTTCATTACGGTCCCTTCACTGAGCCAAGTTTTGCAAGTTCATCATCAAGAGGCTCAAAAACATATTCTAATTCACTTGTCTGCACATTTTTTTCCTATAAAAATTGCCACATTCATCTGCCAAACCAGAATTGCAGTTGAAGAATACATATCTTTAAATACTCTGGAACCGTTTTCTGAGTTTAGGAAGTTCCGTTTTCTTCTCAAACATTCATTTGTTTTTGCTTAGATAAAGTCCAGAATTAGACTGTAGAGTGACTAAGAGTGGTGGATGGATGGCTCAGTAATTGCAGCGTTACCATCATTTACACTAATACGCATACACACCGGCCTCAGTGCGGTCCAGCTAGCCTCCTGCTCTCTATGTGAGGATCAGGACATTGACTCGCATTTACAGTCTGTGTGGTCAGTGTGGTAGAAGAAACTGTTTATAGCCAATCCAAGGCCCTACACAGAAAATGGTTAATGGGAATAGGTGTGGGTTTGAATCAAGCTTCCCCACTTGTGGGTTGTATAAACTTGAGCAAATTGTTTAACTCCACTTGGCCTCCTCTTCAGAAATACGTAATGTTTCTTAATTCCGCTGTGAGGATCCCAGGGAATAATGGGACCAGATCTCCAGACAGAGAACCTGGCAAACGCCAGTCACACAGCAGACGTCACTTTCATTCTTGCACCTTTGCCCTTTTCTGTTTGTTTTTGTTTTTACTTTCAGTCATGTCGTTCTTCAGTCCGTCCCTAAAAGCTTCACATGTCAGTTGCCTAGCTGGCGTCACGTCAGTGACCCCTGAGTCCTGGACTGCCACTTTGTACTTGAGGAGCAATGGCAGTATTAGACAATGTCGCCTCTGCTTAATTACTGTCACAGTAATAGTGTTCTGAAGGTGGAAATGTCTCTGATACCTGAACCGTAATGGACTGAAGAACACACAGATTTTCTGGAAGACGTAATTGCAAACAACAATCATTGCATCCCAGAGGCCCTGCCCAGTAGGGCACTTCCTGATGCAAGGCACCCATCCCGGTCAGGAGTCAGCTGGGTCACCTTAGCAACTGCTGCCTCCCTTCCCAATACAAAACCCATCAGGAGACAGGAGAGCATTGGAATACCTCAGGACTCTGTTTTGCCCAAAGGAGCCTTGAGACTCAAGTCCAAGGCAATCCTCTAAGGGAGAGAAGATTTCCTGTCTTGCCTCCTTGGAGGCATGGTTTATGGCAGGCAGGAGGAGGTGAGTTTGTCCAAAGCGCTTTGAAGATTACACAAGTTCTGCTTTTCTGTGGCTGCAGGCATGGCACAGGGAACAGTAAATTCACAGTCTGCCCTTTTAAGAGTAGGTTTGAAGCCTTTTAGAGAGAATTAATTAATAAAAACTGTTATTAACAAGTGAGAGAGAGAAAGAAGAGAAATATTGGAGTTATGCATCTTAGAATCTCATCTCTGTATGAAACTAGGTAAGCTGCTGGCGACAGTGGCCACCTTTGCTCACATCTACTTACACAATCTGGATCCCAGCTTGCAGAGGAGTTTTCCACCAACAGAGAGTGATGCTTTTCACAGGCTTCTTTTTCGCTTCCAATTGGAACAAGAGGCTTTATAGGTTTGGGTGAAGACCCAAAGGAACAAACAAGAGAATTTCTTTTCCTCTTAGAGCATATTCAAGAAAGGATAATTTTCCTTCTCTTCGAATATGTTTCTTGACTCTTCTGATGCAACTTAAAAATGTCATGGAAACTTGAAGATAGTCTGATTAAAAATTTACAAAAAAAAAAGAAAAGTAAGAAAATCCTTACGGATAAAAGTCTATAAATACTTATGGAGGAAACAAAATACTTTTGACTTAACTCCAAAAAAATCAAACTGCA